AAAAAAAAAAGAAAACCCAGGTTTGGTTCCCAGCACCCACATATGCAGCTAACAACCATCCCTAACTCCAGCTCCAGTGTATCTGAAGCCTGTGGGCATCACATAACATGAGCATACTTACATACATGCACGTAAGACACTCTAATACATAAAATAAAAATAAATAAATTTAAAAAACAAACAAGGGGGGAGGGAACTCACAAACTACTAGTATAGGAGTGAACTGGCCAAACTCCTTTGAAGAGCAACAGAACTGTATCACAAGCACACACTCAGCCTAGTGGGACTCGCGTGTATGTACACAAAAACAGGAGTATGGGCTTTGATTTCATCCTGCCACTGTTTGTAAAAGCAGAAATCAGTCGACATAGTGGCATATGCGTGTACTCTCAGCTACTTGAGGCTGAGGAAAAAAAGAGTGCATGATTGCAGGAGTTCTGGGCCAGTCTGGTCAACATAACAAGACCTTGCTTCACACACACAAATATAAGGCAGAAAACTGGAAACAACCCAAATGTTCATGAATAAAAACTAAAAAAAACAAACAACAAAAAACCCAACTATGGTATAGTCATACAAAGATTTTTAAAATCCTCTGAGGGGGATGGAGAGATGGCTCTGAGATTAGGAGCACTGGCTGCTCTTGCAGAAGACCTGGGTTCGGTTCTCATACCCACATGGCAGCTAACAACTGCCCATAACTCCAGTCCCAGGGGATCCAACACCCTCTTCTGGCCTCCACAGGCACTGCATGCATGTGGTACACTTACATACATGCAGACAAAACATCATACACATAAAATAAAAATAAATCAAAATACAAATTTAAAAAAATATTTTGAGGGGCTGGAGATATAGCTCATTGGGAAGGAACACTTGCTGTCAAAACCCATATGGTGACTCACAACTGTAACTCTAGTTCCAAGGGATCTGACTCTCCCTTCTGGCTTTGCAGGCAGAAGACATGCATGTGGTGCATACACATACATGCAAGGAAAACACTCATACATATAAAATAGCCATAAGTAAATCTTTTTAAAAAAGTCCTCTGAGCTGGGAATGTAACTCAGAGGTAGACAGCTTCCCCAACATACAAAGCCATGGGTTTTAGTCCTAGCACTGGGAAAAAAAATGGAATTCACCATTGATATGGACAAGTCTTACAAATTTAAGTAAAAGGGAAGCAATGCAGGCTGGTGCATACTGAAGCTATCATGTGCATAAAAAATATATTGTTTATGAGTACATACATGAGCAATACAAATATAAAAACAGAACAGGCTCATAATGGAAACCTCTGGCGAGGAAGAGGGGAAATAAAACAAGGAGAAAAATATTCAAGGGTGAATAAAGCAAAAATGTTTAAACCCACATAGTAGAGACAGTATTTGCTATTCTCATTCCTTTCTGTTTAGAGAACAAATGTGAAAACATTTCTCATTTCTGCTGGATAGCAAGATGGATTAGGGCTGGGATATAGCTCAGTGGTGGAGTACTTGCCTAGCATGAGCAAGGTTTCCCTAGGCTTGATTCTGAGTACCTATGGGGAGAAAAGCCTTAGAATAATTAAAACGGAGCAGTAATAGCAGAGAAGGGTAGCAGAGGGGCAGACAGGGCTCACCCTATGCAGACACTTGGCCTCCTACAGAAATGGCACTGCACACCACTTTGGGGAAAGAATAATCTTTTCAACAAGTCATGGTATGTCAAATATATCTTCTCTTGGAGGAAAATGAAACTTTCTAGAAAATAGCATAGGAAAATGTTTTCTTAACCTTGGTGTAAGGAGAAGCGTCTTAGGTATGAAAATAGAGTAGAAAAAATACACAGGAAAACAATAATCAAACTACAATGAAATTATGAATTCTGCTCATCAAAAAAAAAAAAAAAAACACCAGTAAGACATTTAAAAGCAAGCCACACCTTATTCCTAAGATACTTATAACCCAATTGTGGAAGGATTCAAACAGTATTTCTAAAAAGAGGAGGGAAAATTGGCAGGAAACTTGAACTACCATGTCATAAGACATCTAAACAGCATAAAAATACATGAAAAGGGACCCATACATTAGTTATCCAGAAAAGGTAAATCAAACCACAATGATAGCAGGGCATGCCTTTAGACTCAGCACTCTGGAGGCCGAGGCAGTGGATCTCTGTGAGATCAAAGCCAATCTAGTCTACATAGTGAGTTCTAGGCCAGCTGAGGCTACAAAAAGACATGTCTCAATAAATAAATAGGAAATCCCACAAACTATAAAATCAAAAAAGCCATTCAAAAAAAAGAACATCTATTTTGTAATTCCTTTTTTTTTTTTTTGAGACAAGGTCTCACTATGAAGCCCTGCTGTCCTGGGTTGGTTATGTAAACCCAGGCTGGCCTCAATCTCACAGAGATCAACCTGCCTCTGCTTCTTGAGTGCTGGGATAAAAGGCATGTGACACCACACCCAGCTATAATTACACTTTCATAAGACAGAACCAAAATATGACATTAAAAATCAGAAAAATGGAACTAGAGAGATGGCTCAGTGGTTAAGAAAATATACTGCTCATGCACAGGACCTGAGTTTAGTTGCCAGCACTCAAGTCAGAAGGCTTACAAATGCCCTAAACACCAGCTCCAGGTGATCTGACCCCCCCCCTTTGGGTCTCTGTGGATACTGCACTTGTGTGTACATGTGTGCACACCACATACGCACACGCACACACACACACAGGCACACACAATTAAAAATATAGTAATTTTAAAAATCAGAACAATAAGAACTTAGGGGAGGCAGAGGATAGGGAAGGAAAAAGATTAGAAAAAGAAGGTACAAGAAGACTTTTCTGGGTGCTAATGGTGTCCTACTCTTAACCTGGATAGTTACTACATAAATGCTTTTCTTTTTCTGGCATTACTTTAGTAGTATATTGACCCTCTGTACCCTTTTCTATCTATATGTTCTACTTCAATTAAAGATAGGAAAATTAGGGCTGCAAGATGGTTCAGTGGGTAAAAAGTGCCTCCTGTATAACCCTGACTTGAGTTGGATCCCTGGGACCCAAAGTGGAAAGAGAAAGCTGACTCCCAAAAGTTGCCCTCTGATCTCCACACCCCACATGCATATCCTTCCTCTGTCTGTCTCTCTCTCTCTCTCTCTCTCTCTCTCTCTCTTTCTCTCTCTGTGTTTGTCTCTCTCTCACACACAAATAAATTAATTAAATAATTTTTTTAAAAAAGGAAAATTAGTTTACTGTATTTGCCTACACATATTTATGTTATCTCATCTATCTGGAAAAAGACAAATGAATCCACCAACAAACTCTTATTTCATCAAATCTAAAACATCAGTTATAATACATACCACACCACTACTTTACGTGTCATTATCAGGCATGCCTTTCAGTGGGATATTGTGGCTTACACCAGTAATTCCAGCACCCAAAAGGCTATGAATTTTGCAAAGATCTAGACCACCCTGGGCTACAAAGCAAGATGGCTCTACCTGGGGCAGTGCCCTTCAGCTGGAGCTTAACTACATGGTGTCACATTTGCCTTGCATGCACAAAGGCTGAATCTCCAGGACTGAAAAAGAAAAGCTCTCCAATTTCAGAGAGCTTTAACTTTACAGACCCCATAAAACAGTGGCATAATAAGAGATTTCAAAGCATTGTCAAATATAAAGCAATATAAAAATCCAATGGCTTTCCTTAAGTACCAACAACCAATTTCATAATATGCTGAAAAAAAAATCCCATTCACCATAGCAATAAAAACTAAACCCACACATAGAAAACTCTAATATTTAACTGAAGGTTAAGGAAAAGGGCATGAATAAACATGCATGAAAGGCATGAAACCACTGCTTCTCTATCAACCTAATAAAAACAGCCAACAGCATTTCTCATGACACTCAACAAGCTCATTCTAAATTTCTCAAAGTGAGCAATGATCAGCTCAATTTTGAAAGAGAGCAAAAAAAATCGTCTTATCAAATATTAAAATATGAGAAAGGCTATGGATTTGCCTACAAAAATAAAAGTTTCTACACCAAAAATAACATAAAAAATTTCAAAGATGAGTGATCATGCAGGAGGCAGAGGCAGGTGGATCTCTATAAGATCGAGGTCAGCCTGGTCTACACAGTGAATTCTAGGCCAGCTGGGGCTATAGGGAGACCCTGTATCAAAAAAGAAAGTTAGAGGGAAAAACAAACAAACAAACAAACAAAAAAACAAAAAAAAACCAAACTAGCAAGACTTGGAAGACAAGTTAAATGACCAAAACTTGTGACAGCATATGGCATAGGTGTTATCTGGTCCCTGACATGCAATTGAGATGTCTGTGGTCTGTCATGGAAAAAAAAACCAAACTAGCTAGACTATCTACAGAATTTTTATATATTCATAAGCAAAAGACTTGGAACCCAACAAGATAGAGGGATCAAGAATTTAAGAAGGCAAATCACAGCAGAAAAGATAAAGCAGCTAAGGGACATGAAAACAGAACCCTCACAGGAACCAGGAACTCCAAAATAAAAGTCAATTGCTATCTTCTACTGAGAGACTGGAAAAAATTTAAATTTTATTACATATAACACTGGGTGAGGGTATGGTAAAGAGGCACTGCTACCCAAAACTTAATTATGTACCTACTTTTAAGGGGTAAATTGGCAGCATCTGCTTAAATATGTATGTCATAGAACATAACAATTCCACTTTTTAGAATAAGGATTAAAAATGCTTATCTATCAAATGCACATATGTGTACACACACAGGTCACTAAATTACAATAAACTTGACACTGTGGTAGAGGAAAAAGGGATTTATTTCTCCCTCTCTTTCACAGAAACACAGCTAGCCTCAGTCATAGGAAACATGTTGGCTGCTGCTTCTTGGTCTTTGTTGCAGAGCAGCTCTGTGGACAAGGTTACAGACCCTGATTGCCCCAGTGCAAAGACTGTTACGGCATTTCACAGAGAGAAATATTGCATAGTAATATTTTAAAACATACCAGAAAGAAGCCTCTTCACCACTGGAGGTTGACTGGTCTCCTGCAGAAAGGTCTCCTTTGTGATAAAGGGTTTCCTCTCACTCCTGGGCTTCACTGGCCACTTCTCTAAGATCCTTTGACTACTAATAGGAAATCTCTGAATTTCAGTGAAACATTTCTTTGCTTTTTTAGGTGACAGTTTCTTTTCCAGAAGAGATTCTAAAGCCTGTCATGAAATAAGTTATTATTCCCTTAGTTTATCTCACAAGAGTATGACTTTTAGTCACAATGCTGAAAAAAATAACACATTCCAGAGAAACATGTCATTAAATGGCTATCTCTAGTGGTTAACAAAACACTTCACTGAAAATTTGTATTATTTAGAACATATGATTAATAAAAATAATTTCTACAAGTTTAGCTAACTAAAATCAACAGCAAAGGCATAAGACCATTTCTTTTTTAAAAAAAATTTATTTATTATTTTTATTTTATGTGTATGCATGTATTGCCTGCATGTAGGTAAGTGCACCCATGTCATGCAATGCCCATGGAGGTCAGAAGAGGCTGTTGGATCCCTTGGGATTGGAATTACGGACAGTAGTTAGCTGCCATTTGGGGACTGGGATTCAAACCCAGGTCTTCTGTAAGAACAACCAGTGTTCGTAACTGCTGAGCCATCTCTCCAGCCCCGAGTAAGACCATTTCTAAGAGGCATCCTAATTTTAAACCATTTTAGAAATTAATTAGTCTTCAGACTATAAATGTATATGCTTTAACAGCATTTTAATTCTCAAAAAACCCTCATAAACTCAAATAGTGTTTTAGTAGGCAAATACTATTTATATATAGTCTACATATATAATTATATAAATATATATATATATATAATTTATTTGTTTGAGACAGAGTCTCCCTGTAGCTCCAACTCATCTAGATAGAATTCACTATGTAGACCAGGCTGGCCCTGACTCACAGAGATCTGCCTCCTGAGTGCTGGGTTTAAAGGTGTGCACCACCATGCTTGGTTGCCAGCAAAAATTTTTTTTTTTTTGGTCTTTTTGAAACAGGGTCTCCCTGTAGCCCCCAGCTGTCCTTGAACTCACAGAGATCCACCTGCCTCTGCCTTCCAAGTGCTGGGATTAAAGGCAATTTTTAAATAAATTATTTTATTTTATTTACGTTTATGAATGTATTGTCTGTAAGATCATCCATGTTGTAAAATGCCTGCAGCGGTCAGAAGAAGGCATCCAGTTTCCTAGAACTGGCGGTTAGAGACTCTACATAGGTGCTGGGAATCAAACCCCGGTCCTCTGTTAAGAGCAACCGTGCTCTTAACTGCTGAGCCATCTCTCCAGCCCATAAATCTTTGTTTAATTAAAAAAAAATTTTTGTAGAGTTGGGTGGCACACGGCTTTAATCTCAGTCCTTGAAATGCAGAAACATGTGGATCTCTGTAAGATTGAGTCCAGCCTGAACTACATACCAAGTTCCAGGCAGCTAGGGCCACACTTTGTCTCAAAAACACACACAAACAAAAATTTTTTTTTTTTTAATTTGTGAAGTGTTTTGCCTGCATGAATGTACATGTCCCAAATGCACGGAGGTGCACATGGAGACCAGAAGAGGGCATCAGAACCCCTGAAACTGGAGATACAGATGGTTGCTATCATGTGGGTGTCAGGAACTGAATCCAGGTCCTCTGCAAGAGCAGCAAGTACTCTTAACCACTGAGCCAGCTCACCAGCACCAAAATACATACACTAAAGAGAACTTAGTGGGCCCAATGGCTGTAACCATTTTTCTACCACAGTAATGCCAGGTCTGTGTCCCCATTCTAGAAAGGTTATCTGCTAAAAAACACATCCACCCTCTCATTACCAGGCAGTACTTGCTTACTACAAACAAACTGAGGATAACCGAGCACAACCAGGGAAGCCGAGTTCACTTAATATAGTAACAAGATAGGAAGTTGGGGAACGTATCAAGAAATATTAATTTCCTGCATTACTGAGGATTTTCAAAACTATGGAAGACCAATTATGCTTAAGATAGATTGTTAAAGGCACTCATTTGGGATAATTTCGTGTTATTCTTCCTAGGATTGTGAAGCTATGTTCTCTAAATGAAACCATTTTATTCAATAAACATTTCTTATGGCTAAGTTTAAACAGTATAACATGAAGTGATATGCAGTCAAAAGTTCTGAGATCTGCATCTGACAGTCACACTGACAGTGATCTCTGTCTACATAGATGTAAGGAAAGTAAATAACAAACATATTTGCTAGACAATGGACTGCCAGAGCTAGTTAATGGGAGACAAGCATGTCATGTAGTTCTGAATTCTCCCTACTACGTACACCATACTTCTTCAATAGCCAACAGTTTGTTTGCTACAATGCACTAAAAATGATTATCTTTTTCTATTTATGGATAAACTATATAGTAGAAATAACACTGGCATGGGAGGTCAATCATTTTCAGTTTTCAAGAGAAGTAATTGTATCATCTCTCTGATCTTTGCCTTTTTGAAAAATATATTTTATTTATTTATATATTTTTTAAAGGAGGGGCTTTAAAAAAATATCTTACTCTAGAAAATAGTAAAAACAAAACCAATTACAAAACACAGTGCTACAAAAGACAAAATGTCACATTATGTGGTAAGACTCTGCAAACAGAGCTGGAGAGATGATTCAGTAGTTAAGAGCACTGGCTGCTCTTGCAGAGGACCCAGGTTCAGTTCCCAGCACCCACATGGTGGCTAACAACCATCTGTAACTCCACTTCCAGGGGATCTGATGCCCTCTTCTGGCATCTGAAAGCAGTGCACACACATGGTGTACTTACATACTTTCAGGCAAAACACTCACACACATTAAAAAAAAAAAAAAGGACACTGAGTATGGTGGTGCATGCCTTTATCCCAGCAGGAAGGCAGAGGCAGGTGGATCTCTAAGAGTTCAAGGCCAGCTGGGGCTACAGGGAGACCTTGTCTCAAAAAGCCATACCCCCCCCCAAGACTCTGCAAACTTGTAAAATGTAAAATTAAGAGCATATTGTTATTGCCTTTGTCACCAATGAGAGCTAACTAAGGACAATTCACTCCTGAATAGAGCATGCCACTTGTGGATTTCTAGAAGTTTCTAGTCATCCCAAGATCTGAGGCAGAGCTTGCATGTATGTTTTTAAATGTTTCTTTTCTAGAACCCATCTAGGTAAGTCTCATAGTTCACACTCAAAGAAGAAAAATGTAATATAGACCAATGGTAAAAACAATAAAAAATGGAAACCTCTGTTGCCCTCTGCGAAGTGCTAAGTTACCAGCAGCAGCATTGTCCTGTTACACCAAATATAGCTAGAGGATGGTCAGCACTATTAACCTACCTGAAACAATACTTTTTTAAAAAACATGGACTCCAAAAACTGGAGTCCATTTCATACCTCAATTTGATGCAGGATATCTATAACCACATCTGGGACAGAAGGATCAGCATCCAGCCTAGCAGAACACAGCGAAAGCTGACGGATGAGACTGCCCAGTTCCTTATACTGAGCAGGAACTGGGTGCTTCCTTTGGTCAGTAAACTGAGAGACAAACATCTGTAAGGCCCGAATGGCTCCTCGGTGAGCGGCTGCCAGCCTAGACATTGCCCATGACTGGCAACAGACAAGAAGCAAGGTGTTAGTTCATTATTCTCAATTTCCTAGCATTAAAACAATCTTTAAGAATATTTGTATTCAAGGCTGGAGAGATGGCTCACTGGTTAAGAGCACTGGCTGCTCTTGCAGAGGACCCAAGTTTGATTTCCAGTACCCACATGGCAGCTAACAACCATCTGTAACTCCAGTTCCAGGGGACCTGACACCCTCTTCTGACCTCCTCGGGCATTCCATGACATGGTTGCACTTACATACATGCAGGCAATACACTCATACATACAAAATAAAAATATTTTTTAAAAAGAATATTTGTAGTCTTTCTACAGAAAGTGCTTCCTGTCATGAAAAAATATTGCCATAGTGAAGAAAATTATAAAACAAGTTTTCTAGTAACAAATTCTCTTTCCTGTTCTGTTTTTATACTAGTAATAACTATATAGTAATGTGTTTTCAGAACCTTTTCCTTAGAAGGCAACTCAAATATTTAGCAGCTCAATCCCTCAGAGATTTACATAAACAGACAAAAAATGTTAGTATATCTAGTAACAAAACATTGTGAAATAGACCATAAATAAGCACTGATCATAATTATATCATACCTTCTTAGTATGTTTAATTTTATGTGGGCTCAATTTATCCAATTCTTCCTGAATTTCTTTTACCTGTTTTATAAAAGGGGGAAGAATAAAATTTTCATACCTGTCATTGATCTTTCCTTACAGAAAGACATACCCTGTTTTGTTCAAACATGACCATTATTAACTCAAGTCACTTTAAAATGAGAAAAGACCTCTTATTCATACATCCCCCAAACTGGTTTCCGGTTCAAGATGGTGAATAGGGCAGAGTTTGCCTGCCATCCCTGGATCCCCAGTGCAAGAGGAATTTAACATGAATGAAAGCTAGAAGAACCAGCTCATTAAGTCTTAATAGCCCTAGCTTTCGGGGGCTGGAGAGATGATGGCTCAGCAGTTAAAAGCACTGGCTGCTCTTACAGAGGACCCAGGTTCAATTCCCAGCACTGACACGGCAGCTAACAACCATTTGTAACTCCAGTTCCAGGGGCTCCAATTCCTTCTTCTGACCTCCCTGGGCACTGTACAAGGGTGTACCTACCTACATGCAGGCATTACATTCATACACATAAAAATAAAATAATAAAATATTTTTAAAAAGAGTTTAACTTTCAACTGGACATGGTAGTACATGTCATTAATTCCAGCACACAGGAGGTAGAGGAAGATGTGAGTTCCAGGCCAGACAGGGCTTTAGAATGAGAACCTGTCTGAACAACAAGCAAACATACAAAAAAAGTTTAGTTTTCAGCCTCTAAATTTACAGGAACCACTGAAATCTTTAAGCAGAAACCGACATGGCAAGATTCATGTTTCAGAACAATCTCATCTGGGCCTGAAGCTCAGTGGTACAGCACATGCCTAGACAATCTCTATGGCAGTGGTGTAGAGTGAGGACCAACATAGAACTCAAGAATACAGAAGAAAATCTGATGCATTTTCCTTCAAACGAAAAGGCATAGTTTTTGGTTCCAACAATAAAAACCAACATGTGATTTCAATGATCAGAAAGGAGTTAAAGGTTTATTAACAAGGCGTTGGAGAGATGTCTTAGAGGTTAAGAGCACTGACTGATCTTGTAGAGGACCCAGGTTCTATTTCTAGCATCCACACAGTGGCTAACAACTGTCTGAAACACCAGTTCCAGAAGAATCCAATGCCTTCTTCTGACCTCCACAGGCACTGCATTACATTGGTGTGCTTCACACGTAGGCAATATATTCATACACATAAAGTAAAAATAATAAATATCATCACAATCTAAGAATGTACAAGCCTGTTCACCAACTGCTAAATGTTTCCAGAAAGATAATACAGTCTTCATTCTTTACCATTTACTAAAGAATAATCTAGTATATAATAAACCCAGACAGAAGGAAATGTCCCCTCCTGTAAGACTCAGGTTTGTATGTGTAAGCCTTTTTGTAGGGGAAAAATGGCTTTTAGTAGATTTAAAGGGTCCGTGACCTCAAAAATTCAAGAGCAACTGTTTAGCCTGGCCATAGAGAGAGAGAGAGAGAGAGAGAGAGAGAGAGAGAGAGAGAGAATGCAGATGACAGAAAGAACAGGAATCACTAGTCCACATGTTCAGGAAATTTAGCCTGAATTAGAATTCATACAAGGTCCTTTGTGCTAATCTTTCTGAGATAAAAAGAAAACCAAAGTCCCTAAGAAAGCAACATGCAGTCCTACTCCTCCACCCTTCCCTGGGAGGTCCACACCTGCTGCTGAAGGACGTAGAGCATCCGGGCACAGCGCATGGCTTGCTCCTGCCTCCTCACACAGATTCGCCGCTCTTCATCTGGATCCAAAGCTTCTTCAAGTCTATCTGAAAATATTTTCCCCCAATGTAGATTATAAACCACACAAAGAAACTCATAAAAACTTCAAGTACTTAAAAGAAAACAAAGAGGCTTTCATATTTCATCAGCCCAGAAACTAGGAATGAGTAAGTGGGCAGTGCACCAACTCGGAGACAGAGGGACAAGAAGAGGCCTACAAGCTCTCCTCCACCAGAACAAATCTCACTGAACAATGCTTCAGTGAGAAGCATTGCGAAGCATTTCTTACTATTTCAAAATTCTTTTATATTGGGCCCAAACTTGTTATGCTTTCTCTATTTTCCAAAAACTCTTCATTGGACTATTTTTATGTTTAGTGAAATTTTTTTTCTTTCTTTTCTTGAATCCAAATGAGAAACTATTTCTCTAATACATTAAGATAGAAAGTGCTAAAATTATTCCAATGTCTTTAAGTCTTCAGCTACTCGTTGAGCACATTCTCATATTCTCCAGTTTTAAAAGATTGGCTCTGACCATTTCTGGGAGATTGCCCAGTCTGTCCATTCTTTCTAGTCTATAGTTTCCAAATACAAGCAAATTCTCTTACAAAACTCTAATAGGCAAGTCAGAGAAAAGCAATATTTTACCAATGGAAGTATATTCTATGAGTTTAATTTTCTCATTATTTACTCATTAAAAAGTCAAGCCGGGCGTGGTGGCACACGCTTTTAATCCCAGCACTCAGGAGGCAGAGGCAGGCAGATCTCTGTGAGTTCAAGGCCAGCCTGGTCTACATAGTGAGTTCCAGGACAGCTGGGGCTACAGGGAGACCCTGTCTCAAAAAGACAAAAAAAAAAAAAAGTCAAACAAGAGGGTCCAGGAGTGTAGCTCAGTGGTATAGCACTCATCACTGAGTTTGATTCCTAGTACCACTAAATTAATTAACTAAAAAAAAAAAAAGCAAGAGTAAGGCAATAAGGGTACTTTGAAGGGCAAAACTTTGAAGCTAGAAGTTGAACATACAGTTGGAGTCATATGGGAGCCTTTAAGCCAAATTATTTCCACCTCTTATTTGGACTGCACGGTGGGGAGGAAATCACATTCACATACCTGCAAGAGCAAACATAGGAGCAGGTTTTGGCAGGGGTTTTTAACTCCTCATCTCATCAGGTGATTCTAATGCAACTAGACTACAGAGCACAATTTGGAGGCACAAACGGAAACTTCAGGGTTACTGAAAGGGGCAGTCTGTAGCTAGGGGTGCACTGCAAGCTATCATTGGTCCACAAGGTAAATGCAGAAGTTGAAACATGTATTTACATGTCATGATGGCAATTTTCCTCTGGTCATGACCTTATTATAGTTAAAAATTATTGATTTGTGATAGATTGAATTTTTAAGCCAACAAACAAAACACGCAGGCCTTTCTCCACAGAGTTTGAAAAAACTCACTTCCAAAGCTTCTGGTCTTAGGCCAGATCACCAGAGCAGAGGACCTGGGAACTTTATTCCTTAACAGGATGGTCTCTACCTAAAGCATCTGGTGAATTCCAAATGACACAGAAATATCATAAGAAATAAGCCACAATACTTGTGGTATGTTTCTGCGGAAATATGTTAGAAGCACTTATGATATTAAAGTATTACACAGCACAATCTTTACGAAGACTGACAGGAGAGGCTTCTTTCTGGCTGTGGTATGTGGAAATTATTTTCCTTACACAGCTGTACTTTTCTGTTTAGATTTTTGTCAGTTCTGCAACTCACAGCAATTTTCTTTGTAGCTGGCTCCTAGGAACTCAGAAAAGACTTTGTAAATCATCCCTAGTAAATCTGCTTTTTCCAAACCTCATATTTACTAGGCCACCATATCAATCACATAGTTTTAATCGTTTCAATCAATAGATACTTTAAAAGGTATTTAAAATTTTTTCTGTAACATATATGTTTTTGTATGTATTTTAGTTAAACTTTAAAGGCAAATTGTAATTTTAGACTATGTAGTATCCAAGCCCAACAGCTTCTTTTGCTACTCAGCTCTTTACACTTCACTATCTGAAAATTGGGACTGATTTCCTACCTGCTAGCTATAGTAGCTCCAAATTCTACAATCAGGTTCAATCTTCTATTTCCCAAAGAAATGCAAGGACCCTGCAATTACTATAGAATTGTAGAAACTGGTAAAATAGTGATTATGCTTCTTCCTTTTCACCCTGTGGCCAGATATTTTAAACAAATATCCACAACTTCTTTTTGTCATTGGTATATACTTTACATTGCCCAGATATGAACTGGATTTATCTATAATTTACATATACTATGGTCCCTTTAAGAAACTAAAAATAGCCAGGCGTGGTGGCACACTCAGCACTTGGGAGGCAGAGGCAGGTGGATCTCTGTGAGTTCAAGGCCAGCCTGGTCTACATAGTGAGTTCCAGGATAGCTGGGGCTACAGGGAAATCCTGTCTCAAAAAGACCAAAAAAAAAAAAAAAAAGAAACTGAAAATAATTTTTCCAGAAGGATTTCTGGATAAACGAGGCAAATACTATAGGATACTTTGTACTCAGGTCTTAGGAGACCTAAGGTTCAGACAGACAGGCCCCATATGTCAATCTACACACAGGGGGAGTAGGCGGGGCAAACTCATCAAAGAAAGAAGACTCAGGTCAGACTCCAAGCCCAATTCTCTTATCATGAGTGCTCAACTCTAGTGAACCAACCTGCTCATAGGAGGCAACGGAATTCAGTGGTGGTGGGGAGTTAGGGAGGGAGTACCCCAAATCAATACATTTACATTATCCCACACCTGTGATATCTCATCAGAGGGAAGAACCTAATTTTCCTCACCTTTTTTAGTTACCTCTTCGATTTTATGGATACAACTGCTCAATTCCTTTTGGAGTCGCTGAACTTCTAGCAGGCTTTTCTGTTCACGTAGGTTTTTGTGATCTGCTATCCTGGGTTGTGGTTGAAGTCCTGGGTCATGGGTAGGTGGCGAATTTGGCACAGTAAGATCCGACCCTCCTGGATGAGATGTGTACACATACACCTTGGCACCTGAGCTGGAAATTCCTACTTTGGATGACTGGTGGCTGCACTGACAGACTTCCCAACTCTTTGGGTCATTCCTTTCCACCTTGTGGGTAGATAATTTACACCTGGTGTGTCCACATTTGTGAGTGTTTTGGGACTGACTTCTGAGATAATGTTCTTTTATGTGTTCTTCAACTTGTCTTCGTTTTACATCTCTTTTGGCTAGGTGAACCGCATAGCTAAGTCTCTCTTCTGATACGACAGAAAATGAAACAGGACTGCTTAGGTCATGTCCAGCTCTAAAATCCAAGTCTTTACAGTGATATGATTCATTGTACGAGTGTTTCAGTTTTTCAATTCTAATTGCATGTGGGCAAGAGTATCGGACTGCCAAGTTGCTCGGATGTGCAGGAACATTCCTATTAAACTGCAGCTGGTTCTTCAAAGAATAAACAAAAGAAAGTTCATATTAGAAAAATGACATATTGTATAGTGGATATATGTATATAATCAAGTTCCTAATATTTTACCCACAAGATTATTTGTATGAAGAGAGATTTTTCTGTTGTATCCATAGAACCAGCAAGTTGTATACCAGGCATCCAGAGTTCTACACTAAATCACCTAGTCCCACAGAACTAGACTTCCATCTGCTAACAGCATACTAGGATCCTCCTCTAAAGGAGCAATCAATAAGTTCCTCAACTCCCAATTATGGATCTCTGATCTGTTTTAAAATATCAAGGTCTAGCAAAGTTGGTGAAGTCCTTGATGATGTGAGTACAGGAGAACCTTTATGACTCAAAATCCATGTTTAATAAAAGAATCTCTTTGATGTGAAAGAAAAATGAAATGATGAGTGATAAATCTGACTATATTAAAACAAATTTCTTTAAAATGTTCTGCCTGGTTTACAACCAACAAACATACAAGCAAACAAAGAAACAAAATGCCATAATAAACAACGTCCAAAGAAATGAAAAACTAGGAGAAAAATATCTGCAACTATAAAGAGCTCCCTACATATAAAGAAATCTTAACAATTAAGGTCTAAAAAGAAACCATTGTGGGTGGAGAGAGAGCTCAGTGGGTTAGGAGCATTTACTGCCCTGCAGAGAACTTGGGTTCAGTTCTCAGCACCTACATAGCAGCTAACAACCACATGTAACTCCAGGTCCAGGGGATTTAATGCCTGCTTCTAGCCTCCACAGACACTGCATGCACGTGTTACATATAAACTCATGCATATGCACATATACACACAGATACATAATTTTCTTAAAAAAAGAAACCAGCCAGGCATGACGGTATACACCTTTAATCCTAGCACTTGGGAGGCAGAGGCAGGTGGATCTCTGTGAGATCTAGGCCAGTCTCATCTACATATACCAGGCTAGCTAGGGCTACCGGGAGATCCTGTTTCAAAAAAAAGATAACAAGTAATTAAGTAAATAGATACCATAAGAAATGGAAAAGACAGTAAAGACAACTTTTTTAAAAAAGGACCAGGTGTGACAGTTCATGCCTCTGATTCGAGCACTTGGGTGGCAGAGGCAGGCAGACCTTTTTGCGTTCTAGGCCAGCCTGGACTACTTACTAAGACCGTCTCAAAAAAGAAAGGGGGGGGGGTATAAACATGGCTCTTAAATTTGTGAAGAAAATATTCAACTTTATAAAAATACAATGAAATACCTTTCTCAACAGATTAGCAAAATAAAAAAGTACAACACTATATGCTGTTGGTAAGGCTGTGGGAAAGGCAGGCTGCACGTTTCTACTGGAGGTACCTTGGCAGTCTTTGGCCACCTTTTATCCAGCAGTCTAGGTTTCACTTCTAGGATTCACCCTGCAGATATGCCCCTAACAATACATACCCACAGGCTTGCTCACTATTATATCACTGGTGATTACAAATTACTGGGATCAATCTAAATGTGATCAGGGAAGAAACTCTGAGACAGCCACACAACACAGTGCCAGAAATGTAAAACACAAAGTCTCTAGGTACAGTTCTATGAACTGACCTGAGAGATTTCTTAGATATGTTGCTCAGAGTAAACAACAAAGTATGAAGAGTATCTATACTATTAGGAAAAAGGAGCCCTAAGAATATGTGAAGCTGGGCGGTAGTGCACACCTTTATTCCCAGCATTCAGGAGACAGAAGCAGTTGGATCTCTAAGAGTTCAAGGCCAGCCCGGTCTACATAATGAGATCCAGGCCATCTCGGGCTATAGGAAGATCCTATTTCAAAACAACAACAACAAAAATAAAGAAAAACCTACTGAAAGAAACTTCACACAACAGTGTGTATCATATGGTATCATTAATAAGAAGTTCTAGTGCAGGCAAAACTTACCTGTGGTAGAAAAAAATCAAAATGGTTGTTTCATCTGGTGGTTGTTTAGATAGGGGCATATAAGAACTTTCTAGGGTAACAAAAATGATGTAGTATTTCATATAATTATGGATCATACATGTACATATATATTTCCAAATTCAGCAAATGTAGCATGGTGTATACAATTCAATGGGATCCTTTCTGGTGAAAAATTTATAAAGAAAATCTGATAAAGAATGGACTCTAGGGCATAATATACATGCAGTAGCTAGGTTTCTCACATCATCATACCTGACTTTGAAAAGTGTCAAATAATAATATGGACTGATGGACACTGATGGATCAAAGAAAAAAATACAGTGAAACACCAATGTAAACTGTAAAATTCAATTCCGTTCAATGTCTGAAGAGTTTCATAATACAATATTGGGGGGAAAAGACATTTTTGGGACAACCAAGAAAAACCTAAACAAAGGTTGGTTACTATATAATAGGAGGGATTATTTTCTATTATTTTCTTGGGGCTGGGTAGATGGCTCAGCAGTTAAGACTGCTTGCTGCTCTATCCTGGGGACTAGCATTCAGATCCCCAGCACCCACATGAGACAGCTCACAAATGCCTGTAACTCCAGCTCCAAGGGATCGACATTTTTTTCTGGCCTTGCACCTGCCCACCCCCCCAAACACACATGTATATACTACAGACACTCACCCTGATAGACACACATAGATTTTTTTTTCTTGAGGGTCTTTTTTGAGACAGAGTCTCCCTGTAGCCCCAGATGGCCTGGACTTGCTATGAAGACCAGGCTAGCCTTGAACTCACAGAGATTTGCTGGCCTCTGCCTCCCAAGTGCTGGGATTACAGGTGTGTGCGACTTTGACCAGGCTGGCCTCGAACTCACAGAGATCCGCCTGCCTCTGCCTCCTGAGTGCTGGGATTAAAGGCGTGTGCCACGACGCCCAGCTAGATTTTTTTAAATATTTATTTTTATTTTATGTGTATGCGTGTATTGCCTACATGTAGGTAAGTGCACCTGTGTCGTGCAATGCCCGCAGAGGACAGAAGAGGCTAGAACTGGAGTTACAGACAGTTGTTAGCTGCCATATGGGTGCTGGGATTCGAACCCAGGTCTTCTGCAAGAACATTCAGTGTTCTTAACTGCTGAGCCATCTCTCCAGCCCCCTAGATTTTTTTTAAAGCTATTTTCTTAGGTGTGATAATGGTATGATTAGGTAGGAGAGATCATTTTTAAAGACTTATTCTTAAACATTTAAAAATGAAGTGTCATAATGCAATTTACTTTGGTATGCTTATATAAAAACAGATGGTTTAGTAGACAGAAAACAGGACAAATTGTTAACTGTTGAATCTACACGGTGGTTCTAAAATGTTCAATGTCCCTTTTTTTCAACTTTTCTTATGTTTGAAATGTTTCCTAATAAATATCTGAAGGAAAAGAGCAAAGCTACCTGGGGCTGAGGATTCCTGGGGTCACTCACTCCATCTAGTTGGGTGCTGGACAGAAGATGAACACAGGTAGATGCTGGCTGGCCTGGTCCCATCATGTCAGATGATGCAAAACAACACTGACCACCTTAGTCAGCAGGCAAGTCTTCTTAAATGAAACATGCCTAAAATTAAACTGCCATTTCCAGACCAACAATCAAACAAGAAAACAGATTATAAAAAACAAACACACCACAACACCTTGTTCATAAAGCAATATTCTAGAAGGAACCCACAGTAACCTCATGCTTAGAGAGAGAGCTAGTTCTTGCATTTATAAAACCAACAAGTGGGGCTGGAGAGATGGCTCAGCAGTTAAAAGCATTGGCTTCTCTGGCAAAGGACCCAGGATTGGATCCCAAAACCCACATGGTGGCTAACAACCATCCATAACTCCAGTTCCAGGGGATCTGACACCCTCTTCTGACCTCCTCAGGTATTGCACTACATGGGTGCACTTACGCATGTGCAGGCAATACACTCTTACACATAAAATAAATAAATATATATATATATATTTTTTTTAAAAAAAAAAGCAACCACTTTTGTAATTCTCATTTTCAAAAGAGACCCTGAGCATGGTGGCAAATGCCTTTACTCCCAACACTTGGGAGGCAGAGATAGAGAGATCTCTGTGAGGTCAGTCTGGTCTACATATCCAAGTTCTAGGCCAGTCAGGGATACAGGGAGACCCTGCTTCAAAAAAGACCAAAAATGAGAAAAGAATAGAGAGAGACTATTTTAATGACAATCTTCTGGGCCATTTTCACTTCAAATTCCAAGCTTACCCAGTAAGACATTAATTCTGCTATGATAGACTAGTATTTGACAGGGCATATTTTCTACATCAATAAATCCTAATGACTAATCAAAAAAGTAGAATGTTTCCCTCTCTTTAGCTCAAATACATAAAATTCTGACTCTAAACAAATATGGGGGTTTAGTTAGCTAAATGGGCCCTCTAGGTCTTCAGCACCGCCCCCCCATCATCCTCCACCCTATATACATACACCATGAGACCAGAGATACTGACATTTCTAGTAAACTACAGGAGTTATAACCTGTCTCTATTCTGAAGGTCTCAACATTCTTGAACAGCCTAGTTACTCAGCTGTTTTATCAAGATGTCATCACATACAGTTATTTACCTATGTCATGGGTCTGTGACTCAGCATGCCAGCTAGACAAGGTTCCTTGAGAGTTAAGGGCCTTGTCTTATTATTTTCCACAATACAGTATTTTGAACATAGTAGACAATTTAACTCAACATTTGAGCTGATCTTCTGAGAAATAACTAGTTCTAAATACACTGGAGAATTTGTTCTCTCAAAGAATCCTATAGTAAATCAATTAGGAAAGTCAAGGTTTAAAAACAAAACAAAACAAAACCCTAACTTAAATTTTTTAATAAATCCAAAGTTTGCAGACTGGATTTGCTTAAAGGCAGATGCATCTGTAGCAACATAAAGAGAGCTGCCCAAGATTCCTTATTTCTAAGACTACAGAGACATGGCCCAAGAAGCAGATGAGAGGGGAAGCGGCAAACAAGTGAGGCAATGCCAACTGGCCAGCCATCACCACAGGGCTGGAGCTAGAGCTGCAGATGACCTGCAGAATTGGGGTCACACACCTCAAGTCACTGAAAACACACATACATACACACACACACCCCACTGATCCCCTATAAAAGGTCCTGGGACATCCCCTTCCTCAAAATGTATCCCCTCATTGTTTTCAGAACTCTCTGATTTGTCACCCTACACACTCCATGACATCACCCTGAAACACCTATGCATCTGTTCCTTCACCCACAACCTAAGACAAACTGTCCCCCAACCTCCTCCCTCCCAAGCCCCAGGACATCTCCCAATTTTCTTTCTACACATCTAATGGAAGGCCCCCCTCAACCTCTCTTCCCCCAAGTCATTCCCCCTTCCTCTGATTCCAGGTACTTCTCCCACAGGTCTCCTCCCATTCTGCTGTAGGTGATCTCTGAAACGGCCAACACCTGTTTCCTCCCTTGAAACCAAAGGCATGGGTGTTCTTGTTCCAGACATTCTGGAAACATTCTCATAGGCTGTTTCTTCCTCCACAGACCTAGGACTGTCCCACAGCCTGGCACCACATTCATGGGTGTAAGTCACCCCAACAGCCTGGCCCCTCGTTATAAGTTCTAGGATACCTCTACTCCCTATTTGCTCCCCTGAAGATCCTGTTCCTTCAGTGGACTGTCTCCTAACCATTGTCAAGTCTGAGAACCCCTCAAGTGCTTCCTCTCCAGGGGACCCAGTCACCCATACTGCAGCAGGTACACGTCTGGCCATGGGAACACCCACAGCTGTAAGCATTCCCTGGGGCAAAGTCTCCCCCACAACCTCAGGAATGGTCCCACTGTTTCTCCTCCACACACCAGAGACACCTTCAGAGCCTGCCTCCCCCTCAAGTCTAGGGACCCTGGAAGCAGTGGGCACCTCAGTCATCTGTGTCCTCTGCCAAGCCTTTGCACCTTCTCCACAGCCACCATCCACCACTGGGGGCACTCCCACAGACATGGCAACTCTAGCAGCCATAGGCATCCCAGCAGCCTGTCTCCTTTGTAAGCCCTCAGAGAGCGTGTTTTCCCTCATGAGCTCAGGGAGTCCCACCGCCATGGATATGCCTACAGATGGCCTGCTTCCTGCCAAGGCTGAGACTCTTCCAGAGGCAGTTTGCTCCAATAGGGAACCAGGTGCCCTGGGAGCTACAGGCTCCACAGTTGTGGATACTCCTACAGTCACAGGTATACCTGAAGTCTGTCTCCTTCTTGACAAGTCTGAGAACCCCCTGGAGCCAGGCTCTACCTCTAGACAACCAGATACCTCAGGAACCATGGGAACCCCAACAGTTAGTCTCCTTCCCCATGAACCTGGGAGAGCCTCAGAATCAGTATTGTCTACCACAGATGGGCACTCCTCAGAAGCCAAGGGCCTCCTAGAGCCCACAGGCATTTGGGCAGCATAAGCCCTGTCCTTAAAGTTCAGGTCATCTCTAGAGCAGCTTTCCTGACACACAGGGTCTGGCACCCACATGGCAGCCGGCACACCCAGAGCCATGGGTACTCCTTCAGGGGCACACCTGTGCTTGGGCATCATCACTGTCTCAGACACCCCTAGAGTATGCCTTCTCCCACAGAAACATGGGAGAGCACCACAGGTGGCATCCTGATCTACAGGCTCTGCTGTCCCTAAAGCTGCAGGCCCCTGAGCCTCTTGCTCCCTAGTGACTTGCCGCCTTTCCCACAGGCTTAGGACACTCCCGCTGTGTGTCTCCTCCACAACCAACCCTGGAACTGTCTCAGCCAGAGGTGCCCCCAGATCCTGTTGCCTCTCCCACAGGCCTGGGATACCATCATAGCTGGTCTCTGCTCCCCTATCTCCGGATAATGCCACAACCTGAGACATTCGCGGCAGCTGTCCTGTTCCCCACAGTCCTGGGACACCTGCATTGTCTGCCTCCTTCCCCAAAGCCTTGGGTGCTGCCATTGCCTGTTCTATATCCCACAGGCCCTGGACACCGGGAGAACCTGCCTCTTGCTCCCCAGAACTAGACACCTCTACAGTCTGGGCAGTGCCCCATGACCCTGGGTCACCTCCACATCGAGGTCCCTCTTCATTTGCACAAGGCACCCCTAAAGGCTGTTCTATGACCCACAGGCCAGGAACACCGCCAGAGCCTGTATCTTTTACCTCTTGTCTAGTTTGCCACATTCCTGGGGCCCCCAAAGGGGGATTTTCCAATTCCATAGCTCTAGGTACCATCAAAGTCTCAGGGCCCCCTGAAACCTGTCCTTTTCCCCATAAGCCTGGGGTAACCCCATAGACAGCATCTTGTGCAAGAGCCCCAGAAACCTGCAGGGGCTGCCCTACCCCATACGAACCGGGGGCACCTCCACATCCCCTCTCCACTTCTCTGGCTGCGGCCCTTCCTACAGCTTCTGGCCACATCGTGGCCTCAGGCATTGTCCCAGTCTGGCCGGAGGCAACCGCACAGCCTGTCTCTGCCACAGCCCCAGGTCCACGCACAGCAGGAGGTGCCCTCCCAGCGTGTCCCTGCCTACAGAAGCCCAAAGCTCTCACACAACCTGCCCCTAACCCGCTGGCTGTGGGAAGACCTGGGATCCGGGAGAATGCCCTAGCATGTCCTCTCACCCAGGGTCCCGTGACACCACCTCGGCTGGTCTCTACCCAGGAAGCCTGTCCTGGAACACCCTTTTCCACTGGTCCCTCTCCCGCAGGCACAGGATGGAGCGCCACTCTGCTTCCTTCCCAGCATCCCGAAGCTACCCTCATAGCTTGCACCTTCAACCACAGTTCCAGAATGCTCTCGTGGCCCAGGGCTCCTGGACGACCCTTTCTCTCACAGAGGCGAGGACTCCTATCGTCGGCCTCCTCCCCTGCAGATTTGGTCACCCACACAGACCCCGCAGGTCCCACTACCTCGGGCTCGCCCACAGCCCCGTTCACCCACACTGCCCTCGGGTCCCTTGCTGCCTCGGTCGAGCCTGCATTCCCAGGTGTCCCCAAGGCCTCGTTCGCCCCACGGAAAGCAGCGGGCTCGGCGGCTCGTCTCCTCCCCAATGGCTGCCGAGCATCTCGCAGCCTGGCTGCACTGCCACAGCGCGCCCCGCGCACCAAGGACCTCGCCTGTCGCCCTGCTCCACGGCCTCGGGGTGTCCGTGCACCCCATCTCCTCGCCCGCGGGCGCCGAACGCCGCGCCGCGACCTGCCTGGCCACACGCAGCGGGTAGGCATCTTCGGGGCCAGCGAGCACACGCGCAGCTTGGGCCCGGCCCTGCGGCCGGGCACCCGGCTCGCAGGTCGGGGACAATCTCTTTCCCCCACGCCGCCCCGGGCTCTGTCCGTGTGGGCACCTGTTCCCCTAGACAGCATGTTCCGCACACGCTCACACAGTCATCCAACCCTCGCAGCCTTCCCTCCGGGCTTTCACTCCCACACCCCCGTACCCCCGCCCAGTCCTCGACGCCCGCCCCCAGCCCCCCTAAAGCCTGACAAAAGGGAAGGGAGTTGGAAGGGCGGAGCAGCAAGGCCGCTTGGGACCAGGTCTCCGCTCCCCCTTACTCCTCCGCGCTAGATGCAGCTTCACAGAATTCCACCCAGCTCCGACCCGAGCCCACCTGGCTTGGGGCGAGGTGCCGCTAACCGGGAGGCGGGCAGGAGACCCCCTACTAGGCCTCTCTTCCGGCCTCTTGCCCAGTCGCCATGGCAACGGGCGCAGGGCCACTTGGGAGCCGTTAAGCGCCCTAAACCACTTGAGGGTCCAAGTGTACCACGGCAGGTTTTGTAGTCACTGTTCACGAGGCCGAGGTGGGGACCAGATCAGGGCAGAAGTCTGGGTGTCGGAAGGGACCTGGCGCGCGCGCGCACACACACATACACACAGACAAATCTCGAGTAGAGACCAGAAGAGGTGGTAGCGAGTTATGGCCTTCCAAGGCTTCCGTAGCACTGCACAGCGGCGTGGGCTCCGGTGGTACCGCCTATCAAGACACTTACCCTGCCCTCAGTGGGCATCGCCGCTGCTAGGCGGCACCTTAGGGCTCCTCCCGCGCTCCTCTCGGCGCAGTCCCCATGGCCACCTTCCAGGAGGTGAGCGTGTCCGGCTTCGAGGAGTTCAACCAGGCTGTGAAGGACCACAATGGCAAAACCATCTTCGCCTACTTCAGCGGTTCTAAGGACGCCGAAGGAAAGAGCTGGTGTCCCGACTGCGTGCAAGGTGAGGCTCGGACTGGGGGGTGCTGGAGGGGTGGAAGGCCCTGCTACGGCCAGAAAGCGGGGTTGGCGAGGTAGGTCTGGTCCCATGGGTCTGTACCTGCACCAGGAGTGGTACTTATTTCACCAGCGGACCCAGATCTCGGGACCTAGTTCTTTAAAACGTCGACTTCCCTAATGATTAGTGCCTTACAGTGAGTTGGTCCAATTTCCCTTAGCAAAGCAAGCATTTGTTTGTTTTGTTCCGGGTTTATGTATATCAATCAGGACTTGGACTTAGTGATTCTCGAGACCTCCTCACAAAGTTTAAAGTCTGAGCCCTTACTAAGATGGAAGGGGGAGGGGCCGCGAAGGGAGACCAACTTAAAAGTTAATGTGTAATTATATTAACTTTTTTTAAAAAGCGGAGCCAGTCGTTCGAGAGGGGCTGAAGTATGTTAATGAAGAATGTGTGTTCATCTACTGCCAAGTGGGAGACAGGTCTTAGTAAGTGATAATGTTTATCGTATTTCCAGACGTAGATTTTTGCAAACTTGGGTGGAAAGGACTCAGATAATTTCTCAGATTCTGTGTTTTAAAGTAAATTCTGATAAATCAATCAGAAGCTATTAAATATAAATTTAAAAGGCTAATGTTCATCCACTTTAGTGGTAATTCAATGAATTTGGCCTTGGAATAAATTCAGAACTCTTGGCTTTACATTTGTTTTATCTTTGTCATATTTTACAAAAGTTGTAGTCCTCAAAATTTTGAAAATGTTGTCAAGAACAATTTTACTAAATATTGAAGTAGGTCAAATGTTGAGTAAACTATAGGAAACCAACTGGTATTTTTAATGATCACCTTTTTCCTTTTGGAATAGTTGGAAGGACCCAAATAATGACTTCAGACAAAAGCTGAAATTAACTGCAGTGCCTACTCTACTTAAATATGGAACAGTGAGTGTCTTTAACAATGATGGGGGCAATAACGGTTAAAAGAACTTTAGAGTCATATTTGAAAAGAGCTTGACGTTTACCCTCACATCAATGTATACATTGCTTTGCAGAGTGCATTACAAACACACAAGTTTGGTGTCCCACCATCCCTCTGCCAACCCCAAAGAACTATTAATAATGCAAATGAAGGGGTTCGGTGTATTTTTCAGCCACTTTTAAGATTATGTGTTCAGAAAGCACTTGCATCAATGGCTTTCTAACCAGGTTTAAAGAAAGGGCTTTAGGGCTACAGAGATGGCTTAGTGGTTAAAAGCACTGGCTGCTCTTGCAGAGGACCCGGATTCGATTCCCAGGACCCAGATGGCTGCTAACAACTGTCCATAACTCCAGTTCCAGGGGATCCGACGCCCTCTTTGAACCTCTGTGGGCACTGCACAACATGGGTGCACTTACACACAGGAGGGCAATAGACTCACACATAAAATAAAAATAAAAATTTTAAAAAGGGCTCTATTCCAGTCCTACCCTGGGATCCTAAATTAAAGGGTTGAGGGGAAAGAGATGGTACTGGGCTTGCTGTCTCCTGTTCAGTCTACGGAGCTTCCTAGTATTTGAGGTTTAAGGCCCCTGAGGCCAAGTATTTTAAATGATTCATCAAATACCTTAACTATTACATAAAACTTGTTATAACTAGTATTTTCTGAATGGCATAATTTCTGTGTTCAAAGATTGCTAATTCAGAGAACTCACTCCATTTCTAGTATCATTTCCTAGCAGTGGCTAAAACTTAACTTCTTTTCTTACAGCCTCAAAAACTGGTAGAATCTGAGTGCCTTCAGGCCAACCTTGTAGAGATGATATTCTCTGAAGATTAAGATTTGATGATGGCAATTGTCTTGATTTCCTGGTTTGCCTACCTGCTTTGAATTCATGTTAACAATAAGTAAATGATGGTGTTAAAAATCAGTGTATGTCTAAATAATAAAGCATTAATATGCAAACCTTCAATTTGCTTGTAACATATGGGTATCTTAAAGATATGATAATAAGTCCTCATTATGGCAGAAGTAGCTCAAAGAAATATACTGAAGATAAAAGTAGATAACTTCCGAACGTCTGCAGAGATTAGACTCTTTTACCTTAAATTCCATGTATCTGCAAAGCAACCGATACTATTAAAATCCTTTCTGCCTCTCAGATGCACAACTTAACCACTCAGGAAAGGCACAACACATGTAAATAAGCCTGTAATCCTAGCACTCCCAGAGGCTAAAGCAAGATCACAAGTTTGAGGCCACCGAGCCAGACCTCATGTCAAACAAAAACACAATTGCTCTGCAAATTAAAACAAGAATGTAAGCCAGGCCATGAGAACTGAAGGAAGCATTTTAACACTGTCCAACAAATGCTAACCTTCCCAAATGAGCACAAGTACTTGAGCCTTTTTACTTTGTTCTAAGCCCAATTGGTCATTAACTACCAGTCTTTTCCCTGTCATCACTAGGTCAGTGACATTCCAGTGATTCCTTCTTAGAACAATCCAAGATGTCCTCTCCTGGCAGAAAGAACCTTTATGCAGCAGCTCCTGCTCTGTGATTTAAAGGGCCCTTGACGCCAGTCCTCTCATTATGTAGATAAGAGGAGTGGCTGGGCTGATCTCAGATAGATTTACAGATTGTCTGGCCCAAGGGACTACTGTATGTGACACTATATCCTTAAACTGCTGTAAAGCACCTAGAATTTTCATTCTTACTCTCTTGGCTCTGTTAAATGTGAACACAAATTTAAAAATCCCCCAAGAAATCAAAGTAGAACAATTCTGGTTTAACAGAAATGATCTATTAACAGTAAAAAGTTTGCCAGTTGAAAAGCACACTAAAGGTTCTGACTACTACCACAATAAAAGTAGGAAGTCTTTTGTCTGCACTATACAATAGAAATACATTATATACATGTCTTAAGAGCCTGGTCTGTTTCCAGCTCTTCATTTTCCCGATGTGTTATTCTGCTGTTGCTGTTCTGCCAGAGCTTGCTGAAGGCGCATTCGCTTCCGAGAGTAGTGCTGCCAGTGTAGAATCTGCTGTTCGTCAATGAATTTTGCACACTGAGCATTCACCAGCTCCTTTCGAAAGTGTTCATATTGGAGCAGTTCTAACATATGCAAACACTGAGGGTACCTGGGGTTTAAAAGTTCATAAGTTAACTATCAACATAATTTTCAACCTAATTATCAACATAATTTCAGATATTTCACATTCCAATTCAGGTACTCCCTTAACCTATTATTTCTGTTAACCTAGTAGTACCCTTTGATAATGCAGGCTTTTCCCACCCTGTTACATCAAAACTCATCATTATGCACATTTCCAAGTAAGATTATTAAATTTATGTTCAGAAATATTAAATAACTTTCCAAGACCACACAACCTAGTAACTGGTAAACTGGGTCAAAATTTGGGGATAAATCATATTCTGGTTTTCAAAGTGAGGAACATGAACATAACTTTTATGCGTATGCATGTGCTGCCTGAATGTATGTATGTACACCGTCATGACCCCTCAGAGGCAGAAGAGGGCATCAGATCCCCTGGAACTGGAATTACAGTTGTTAGCTATCATGTGGATGCTGGGAATTGAACCTAGATCCTATGCAAAAGCAGCCAGTACTCTTAACTGCTGAGCCATCTCTCTAACCCATAATTTTTAATTTTAAAAAATTTTATTAATGTATTTAGTGAGAGAGAGAGAGAGAGAGAGAGAGAGAGAGAGAGAGAGAGAGAGAGAGAGAACATGCCACAGCATGAGTGTGGACAACTTGCTATTCTCCCTTTCTACCATGGGAGGGAAGGATCAAACTCAGGTCATTATACTTGGCAGCAAGCATTTTTACCCACTGAGCCATTTCACTGGCCCTGAATGCTTTTTTTAAATGTGTTTCATCAGTAGCTATTGGTTTCCAATCAGGAGCAATAAAAAGGCAACCTGTATTTAAGTGAGTCAATTTCAAAAAAGAACTATATACATAGCTGGGTATATATACCTATAATCCCAGTACTCAGGAGGCTGAGTAGATTGTGAATTTGGGGTCGGTATGGGTTATACTGCAAGATCCTTTCTCCAAAATAAACTATGTACACATACTGGAATTTCCCACAAGGGTTATAGGAATTCAAAATTATGTATATTTTAAGATTGAAAAAATAAGTGTACTAGAGATTTTTTTAAAAAGCCAAATATTTCATTATCAGAAAAGGGTAAGGAAAGTAGAAAGGGCAGGATGAACACTGTTACTGAGCTACTGAGTGGGAATGCAAACTGTGCATCACGTTTACTATCCAGACAGACACAGAGGGTGGCACAGGCGTATAGATGTGCACATACAAACATGGACATATACAGTCCCTAGCTTTGTAAGCTACAGAAGAAACAAGAACACTGGTATCAAGGAGCACACTTAGGAGCCAGATCTTGTTTTCCAATAGCATTTCCCAGAGTTCTTTGGAAGAGCTTATTCTAGGGCTAGGATGGGGAAAGTACAACATGAACATAGAACATGGCACAGCACCAAAAGGAGGTGCTGAACATGGATGGGGATATGTCAAAACAACACAAGAGCCAATTCTCAAGTAATTACAGCAAGAAAAGCCTCTTGTAATCCATAGGCTAAAAATAAGAACCTGAAAGATGATACTGGCATATTTTAGTGAATGAATAAGGGAATGATTTTCTTTGCTACAGAATTGCAACTAATAAATGCAGAATGATGGAATAAGAAAATCCCATAGTAAAACCTGTTCACGTATCTTCAATAATGCTAAAATTAGGGGAACAAATGAGGACAAAGTACGATGACACACACATACGAAGATGTCATGATAAAATTACTTTGCATGCTAACCTAAAATATCACCTGGAAAAAAATGCTATAATTAGTGGGCAAAATTTATGTAACAAGATGTCTACAGAGTCTCAAGGTTACCCCATAACATACTAAATACAAAAGAAACAACTGTGTGTGTGATCCAAGTGAGAATGAGTGAGAGACAAAGGGAGGGGAGAGAGCACCAAGGAACTCAAGACTAAGAAATGACAAAATGTAACCTATAAGCCTAGACTAGACGACACATAGGACAGCAGTAGGGTAATCGGCAGAATCTAAATGAGGCCTGTAGACTACATAATAGATTTACAGTAACGTTCCTAGCAAATGAAGATGCCAGCAGTCTCTTACAGTGCACAGCCATGCTGCTCTGTAAGTTCACCTACTTTTCTGAATTACTCAAATTTTCCTTTTCTTCCTATCTCTTCCTAGGCATGTTCTCCCCAATACTTTGGGCTTCCTTACTTTTTCTCTAAAGCCCCCTTCCCTGCCCTACGGCTGCCTGCCACCGCATAACCACCTTCCAAGCCAGCCTAACTCACGTGGAGTAGCTTTTTTTCTTTCTCTTCTCCATTCTCCCCTTCTGGGCAGCTGCTGAGATTTATAGTTTCCCTGTTCCCTTAGGGTATTTTTCTTTTAAACACTAATTAGCCAAGTATGGGCACTCACCTTTAATCCCTTTCATCCCAGCACTCCACAAGGCAGAGGCTGGCAGATTTCTGTGAGTCTAAGACCAGCCTGGTCTACATAGAGTTCCAGGCCAACTAGAGCTACATAGTGAGACTCTGTCTCAAAAAAAAAAAAAAAAAAAGAGTACGTAATTAAACTAATAAAATTGTACTCAAACTTTAAAAAAGAAGATGCCACTGATGGGCCAATACTATGCTGTCCTTTCAAGATAATACAGGCTTACTATTTATACTCTCCAAATCTGCAATTGTTGGTAGCTTAGCCCAGAATGCTCTATTCCCATTACACTGGCTAATCCCCTTTTGTGACACATTAGAAGTTTAAAGGATTTGGCTCTATGGGGCTGGAAAGATGGCTCAGCAGTTAAGAACACTGGTTGTTCTTGCAGAAGAGCCGGGTTCGAATCCTAGCACCCACATTGCAGTTAACAAAAGTCTGTAACTCCAGTCCCAGGGGATCCGACAGCCTCTTCTGACATCTGTGGGCATTGCACAACACAGGTGCACTTACCTACGTGCAGGTAATACACACATACACATAAAAAAATAAATAAAAATAATAAAATTACAAAAAAAAAAAAGATTTGGCTCTGAATATGAGGTAGCTGGGCTTGAACATAATACTTAAACCTCTAAGTTCAATTTCTTCCTATGAAACTAATGTAGCAGCTAGTCACTACTGGAACTTAGATAGTGATCATTTATCTTATCAAAGTTGTAGAAAACAATGGTCATAATAAATCAGACTGCAGAACATGGCAGCTAACAACTGTCTGTAACTCCAGTTCCAGGGGATCCGACAGCCTCTTCTGTCCTCTGCAGGCATTGCACAACATGGGTGCACTTACCTACATGCAGGCAATACACACATACACATAAAATAAAAATAAATAAAAATTTTTAAAAAAGGAATTATAAATATTCCAAGAGGCTACAATATTCGCCTAGAAGTCAACAAGATGAACTAGAAGAGGTACAAAAAGTCTTACATTTAAATTTTTTAAAAAACAAACAAGAGGTCAAGTAACAGCATTCAATTCGTGCAAATAACCAAAGGATTTTAGTTGGCATGAGGCTCCCAGCAAGTCAATTCCCTACCCTCCTCCACTCAAAAAAGTAAAATCAACCCATACTGAAATATTACACATAAGGAAAAGGCCATCTGGTCTATGGTACCCTGACCACACCATTTAGTTTTTGTTTGGACTGCCTAATAGTACCCAAATTCATTAGAAAAATATAAAGTATTTTATAAAAAATACTTTAAAAATGGCTGAAGGCTGTTAAGAAAAGCAATGTAAAGAAATAGTCTAGTTGCATGTGCTAGGTATTGGTGAAGTAGGTCAGGTATGGGAAATGTCTAGAAGAGAAAGCTCTCCTCAGCAGCAGCCCCATTGTCGACTTGGGAAAATGAAAATTTCCCAATTTTAAAGTAGCTGGAAATCTGGATTGTTATAGAAAACCTTCCCTTTTTAAATTTTGGCAACTATTTAAAAATCTAAAACCATGTGGAGACTTGACAAAATGCCCAGCAGGCCTTAATTTGCAATCTTTCTTGGATTTAAACATCAATATGGCTGCTCTCCGAGGGAGAATAGGTTAATCCAAAAACAAAAATCTAGGAATGGTTTGTTAACGCCAAGAGATTTTATCACAATACAACTGTTTAATATTTGGCTATCAGTAAAGTAAGCTGAGCCTAATGGAGTCAAATATGCTTCCAATCAGGGTGTAGATAACCATCTTTCAGCAACACTGTAGTTGAGACTGAACTTGAAGGTAGCTAACACTGAGTCTGTAAAGCTGCACACATCCATGTCAGTCTAGTAAGAAAAAGTTTTTCTTTTGGATTATTAAGCGAATCAACAGTTGAATCATAAAGAGCCAGTCAAGGTACGAATCAAATAGTCCTACAGGTCACCCAGGAATCAGTTCAGAAGGATGGTACGAACAAACAAGTTTGAAATATTTTTCTCTAAAACTTCTGTTTTAATAAAGGTTTCATTATTGGTTTCTGACTACTTGATTAAGACAAAATAGTCTGAGTTCAAGAGTTTGTTTTAGCACTAAAAAATTTCAATTTAGTAAACCTTATAAATGAAAAGTATCAATTAAGGGTTGGAAAGATGGTTCAGCGGTTAAGAGCACTGACTGCTCTTGCAGAGGACCTGTGTTTGAATCCCAGCATCCACATGCTGGTTAACAACCATCTGTAACTCCAGCTCCAGGGGATCCGACGCCCTCTTCTGACCTCCTCGCACACTGCATGACATGGGTGCACTTGTTACATGCAGGCAAAACACTCATATATGTAAAATAAAAATATTTTTAAAAAATAAAGCATCAATTGAAAAGTTAATAGTGTTTGTGTATGTTTTTAAAAATAAGTTTAATGTATGTGAAGCAGTTAGCACACTGCTTGGCACATAGGGTATGCTAAAGAAAAAAATGGGCTGGAGAGATAGCCCAGTGGTTAGGAGCACATACTGCTCTTATAGAGGACCCAAAGATCTGAGTTCTTTCCAGCACCCATATCGGGCATCTCACAACTGCCTGTAGCTCCAGATCTAGGGAGATCCAACACCTCTGGCTTCTGTGGGCACCTGCATTTACATGCAGTGCCCCCCACAGACACACATTTCATACACACAAATAAAAATAATTCTTTAAAACCAACAAAAACCAAAAGCAGTAGTTCTAAATCAAGTAAGGTTACCCTCCTCCAGAAAAAACCTTCCATTCCAGCACCACTTTCTCTGTGTTATTTTCATTTTCATCTTGTGGCTATGTTGCTACATTTATGGGTTCATGGGCATCAGAAACCCAGTGAGACAAGGAGAGTTGTAAAAGACGGTCAGACAAGACCAGATCATATAAGGGCTGTAGTCCAGAAACAGGGACTGGACTTTATCCTACATGGACTAGAAGGCCACTGAAAGGTCCTAAGCAAGAAAGTGGTATGTTCTGATGTACATTTTTAAGAGACCTAACTGGCTTCTGTGTGGATAATTGTTTTGCTTGGATTTGAGGGGAGTGAGAGGAGAATGAAAGCAGAAATAAGTAGATTACTGCAATAATTCAAATTAGAGATGACAGTGTCTTGGTATTAACTATAAATGGAGAGATTCAAAATGTATTTTCCAGTGTGACACTAAGAAAACTAAACATCAGTACTTTGAATTTACAAAAGAATATACATATTTAGGATTATAAAAATTAAACTTACTTTAGATACTTGGCATAGTCTGGTTCTTTCCAGTAAAGCAAGTACTTAAGATAATTAACAAAAGCCTTGTCTTTGAAGTAACCTCTTTGGGCAAGAACTGAAAGGCACAAAGAAACAATCTGTAGGTGAAACTAATCCTTGGATTGCTGACTTATAAACCTCTAAACTAAAGTAGCATAATCTCTAAAATAGAGATCTTTAACATCCCCGCCACCCACACAGGATGAATTAAAAAACACAAGTCCTAGTTTGCTCAGTTATTATCTACAAACAGGCATAAATAAAATCCCATTCAATTGAAAACATCAAAATAAATACTACTATGAATTGCATGTCTTCTATCAGAAATCATTAATAACAACTTACAATTAAGGTAATTTGGGTTGGCTAAACACTGTACAAATTCCAGCTCCAACTGAAACCGAAGTCGATTTCCAGCATCATCTAAGAGAAAAGACAGTACAAATCATCCAAAATAAAAGTCACTATATAGAATGCTGATTTGTAGAAACAGTAATAAAGGGCCAGTGAGGTGGCTCCGTGGGTAAAAATGCTTGTTTGAACATCTTAAGACCGGAGTTCAATCCCTGAGACCCACAGGGTGGAAGGACAGAAAAGACTCAGGCTGACATCCACAAGCACAGTGCCCCCACATAAGCAAACAAACAAAACACACACACAGAAACAGCAATAAAGAAACGAGTAATGCTGATACAACATATGGTGGCCTTCTTAAAGTGTAGGAGACTTCCTTAAAAACGAAGATTTGAGCCCTAATTTAAAAAAAACAACAGGAAATTCGCTAAAGTTTAAACCACTACAGAAAACAAATTGGGTAGGATATCACTTGTGGACCACAATGTAACGACGTTAGCGGAGATCACTAGGGTAGGTAGTAATAGCTGCGCCTTCCCCTATCTTACTAATACGTTAATAACCACAATTAATAACGGTAATTACATTAAGCAAAAGCAAAATGCTAAATAAACGAGGAAAAAGTACAGAACGCCAAGTTGATAAAAAACGCGGGGCGTGAAAGAGCGTGAGAATGTCCATGGCATAACGATACAGTGTTAACGACAGTTCAAACTTCTGCTAGCCCGTGTGGGAAAGCAGTGGCCGGTCTCAGTCCTGCCGGGGCCCGGGAGCCGATGAGGTGGGTGTTAAACAGCACATGAGAAAAGATGTTCACACAAGCCCATTGCTGCCTTGTCGCCCGCGCGTCCCAACGCCATCCCCGCGAAGTTGGGACCGCGGGAGAAGCGGCCGGGCCAGGCACGGTTCCTCCCGTGAAGACTCGCGGCACACGGCGCTACAAACCTGTCTCCATAGCGACAGCAGTAGCCATGGCCAGCAGAGACTGGAAAACGCCACCACCCCACTGAAGAGCACCCCCGACTGGCAAGGGAGTTTCCGGAAGCCGCGGCTCTCCTTTCCGGTCGCGGGGCAGTGTGGGATTAGGGGTGGGACCAGCCTCGCTCTGAAGCCCTAGGCTCCGCCCCTCTCTGCCGCCAGTGCCCGCTGCGCTCGCGGATTGCGAGGGGGCGGTGCCCGAGCCAAGGGTGCGCCCGGAACACTTCAGTCCCCCTCACCTGGGTGCTTGCACGCCCACGTGTCGTGGCACTCTATAGACTAATCCGCCCTCGTACAAGCGGTGACGTAACACGCCATCGGATGTCATTTCTGATCCTATGACGTAAGGCATGACCTAGCATGACCCTTGAGTTGTGGGGCCTCCCGAGGCCTTTTTGCCCCTCTTGACCCTGGTATCCCGGCAGGATGGCCTCGCCCATGGGGAGAAAGCCCACTACCTCGAGGGTGGAGAGCACCCGCCACAAGGAGACAACGTCGATCTACGCGGAAACGTCATCCCACCGCGTGGAGACTTCCTCTCGGCAGACACGAACGTCTTCGCGTCAGGTGGAGACCTCCCAGTGCCACCACGAGGGACCCTCCCCCGCCCTCTCTGGGAAGCGACTGCCTCGAGTCCTCGAGGTGTCCTCCCAGCACGTGGAAAGCTCCTCGCAGCGCACGGAAACGTCCTCCCGCCACGTCACGTCGTCGTCATCGCTGCGGGTGGAGACAACCGTGCACCGCGTGGAGAGCCCTGCGCGCAGGGACAAGCAGGCCGCGCGCCAGAGCGCAAAGATGGCCCGATGAAAGGCTCCCTCAGCCTGGCCCCTAGCCAGGACAGAACTGCTTCCAGCCTTCAGCCAGCCGGCTGCCAGGGGAGCCCAGTAGCTTCAGTTTCGTGGAAACAACCCACAAATCAATGTGAGAAGCAGCCAAGCTGCGGGTGCCAGAACCCCGTCAACATTTATTGACCTTACGGCACCTGATACCAATTCTGCTTTTAACCCAGTGAACTATTTAACTTGAAGCCAGCACAAAAGGTTTTCAAACCCAGATACTGTATAAACTGGTCGGATGGATAAAGAAGCTGTTTGAGTCAGTGCCAGGTGAGTTTTGGGCTCTTATGCCCCCCAGAAGACATCTTCCCCTTGCAGTTTAAAAAGAGGAGCCAAACTGGTCTTGAATTCATGACCAGTGGTGTGATTATAGACCTACTTTTAAGTTTACTACAGAGCAAGGAATAGTCTTCCATAAGTTTATTGCCTTTTATTTGTGTTTCATAATTGGTTTTCTTATGCAGTGTTGATGCATGATACCCCCACTCACATGCGTTTTAAAAAATTATTTTTAATGTGTGTGAACATTTTGCCTGAATGTATTTAAGTGGACCACGTGTGCGCAATGCCCACAGAGGGCAGAAGAGAGCATCAGAGTCCCCGGAACTGGAGTTACAGATGGTTGTTAGCTGCCATGTCTGTGCTGGGAATTGAACCCAGGTCCTCTGTGGGAGCAGCCAGTGCTCTTAACCACTGAGCCATCCCTTTAGCCCCCACCCCACTTTTTTTTTTTCCAAACACAGGTCACGGGTTGTTTTTTAAAAGGTAAAACAATAAAAAATAACCTTAAAGGGTGGCTATTGAGCACCTACCCTGTCTCTGGGACTGTCGACTTCAGCTGTAGTGTAGCAGTGAAGACCAACTTCCTGCGCTGGTGAAGAGGCAGATACCAAATGAGAAAACAAGACCGTGTTCTGTTGTGATTAGCACTGTCAAGGAATTGTGTCATGTGACAGCTGGGAAGAAGGTAGGTTTTTAGATAGGGTCAGGGAATGTGTCACTGATCTTGTTGATCTGAAATTTGTGTGGGTGAACAGTGATTCATACCAAGATATAGAAGGGAGCACCTTCTAGGCAGAAGGAAAGCAAATATAAAAAGCCGATGGGAACAAACTGAAAGTGTTCATGGAACAGAAAGACCAAGAAAAAGTTGGAGGACTTTCAGCAGGGAAATAAGGTGATGAAATTTTTTTAAAAAAAAAAAAAAAACAAAAAACCTTTCCAGCATCTGTGTGAAGGATGTAGGGTGAATGGTCCAACTTGGGAGTGATTGTGTCTCTTGGGATACTTGGCCCAGGTGTGTTTGTTAGTAGGCAGCACAGGGATTATTAGCCTCTGGAGTAGAGGTGGGGGATGCTGATGGCATCCCACATTGCAGGTTAACACCCATTCCTCCACCATCAAAGAACTGATGTGCTCAGAAAGTCAACGGTGGCAGCTTAGCTGAAGCATGGTCCAGGGCAAGCACCTCTCTCTCAGCAGTACAGAATTGTGGGAGGCCTAAAAGCAGTGGTAGAGCGATAGGGTCTTTTGTTGAATAGCAGAGCAGGAACTCTTGGAAAGGGTATGTTGCTCTTTAATAGGCTCTCCATCTCTGCCTCAGTCACTTACGTGATATTTACCCCAGAAGAACAGAAGGCTGTAAATGGCCCTGACTGTGTGGAACCTGTTCATGAGTTAGATAGAGCACTTGCTGCTTCCAGGCATTCATTTAATCCCAGGGGAGTGCACTGGGCTGTCCCCTGCATGCGGGGGGGGGGGGGGGGGGGATAGGAGAAATGTTATAAAACTCTGAGGCTATCCTAATGCCTCTGCCTCATAAAACTGCTATCAACAGATAGCTTTTGGAATGTCAGTCTTTTGCGGGTTTACTAATTCTTTTTAGCATGCTCTACTGCACAAATTTTCTTTGTGTGTTTTGTTTTGTTTTGACAGAGTCTCACTATGTAGCCCTAACTGGCCTAGAACTCACTATGTAGACCAGGCTGGCTTTGAACCCCCAGATCCATCTGCCTCTACCTCCTGAGCACTGGGTTTAAAGGAGTTTGTCACCACGCCTGGCAATGCTTTTGAAATGAGCAGTATCTGGCTTCTCTTTAACAATTTTCTTTATTAATCTTCTTATTACAAAAGTGATATATGCTTAATGTACCAAATGAAGTAAAGAGTTGGGAAGAAACAATAATGTTGTCATTATTCCTTTTCATTTCTATCCTAACAATAATGTCAGAAATTTGTACATCCTTCCAGACTTTTCTCCATTCACTTAACTCATGGTTTCCTCTTTTAATAGCATCTGGAAGACTGGTAGAATGAGACTCTGAAAAAGCCAAACACTTGGCTCCTAGATCGCTGGTGCTTTGAGAAGTGTAAGTGTACAGAATACAGACTCATAATAGACTCTTCCTGTTGTCCATGTTTCATAAAAAAGGTTTTGTTTAGGTTTCTTCCTACATGTTTCATTGATTTATGTTTCAAAGCTGGACTGTAGAGAGAGAGATGCAGAGCAAGAAAGCATCAAAACAAAATACACAGAGAAGCAGATATTTGCCATAATACTGTTTTGCAGACTCTACAACTTAAAGATGGCAATATATGTTGAAGAAAGTAATGTTTGACATACCTGCTGCATTTTATGTATGTGTTAGTGTTACCTATACTGTGTGTCATCCTCACATTGTTTGTTGGAAACAGTGCTGTTGTACCTGTGACGTGTTATAATAAAGACGATGTGTGTTGTAGGAATGACTTTTTATAACATGGACAGAACCTGGATTAATGATTTTTAGTTAACCTTGGCAACCTCAGTTTGGTACTCCACCCAAAAAGATCATGAATGAATATGGGTATGCATGAGAATTAAGTACCAGAGTGCTGAAAGACAGCAAGCCCATCTTCATTAAACACCAGTGGAGATTGGGTGTCTGAGATATTCTAGAACTAGGGATGAAAAGACAGGACTGTCTGTTGAGATAAGGGTAGATAGCTTGTACTTCACCAATTGAAGCTGGAGAAGCCTGTTTGAATAAAAAGTATGGATGGGGACTTACTCAAGGACACAGCTCCAGAGAGAGTTCCAGATACAGTTCCAGGGCACAGACAGTTCCAAGAGATAATCTGGGGGAACAAGTGTCCTCAGAGTACCAGCCCACACTTAAAAACTAACTTAAGAGGCTTTTTTATTGAGGTAGAACTGTAGTGTTAATGTAGTAATGTAATGCCGCAGTGTGTAGCAAATGAACAGCAATGCTGTGCCTTATTCCCAGCCAGGAGAAGTTTTAATGGCACACTCTTAACAATCCATTGGATCCGTGGTGCTAGGTAATAGTTGTGACTTGCCTTTAGTTGTTATTTTCCATCCTGGTTAGTTTGGAAAACTAAATAAATGCAAACCTTGTGAAAATTACACAAAATAATCACACTCATATGTGTTGAAGATGCTTGTAATGGCAGGAGATGATAGCACACACATGTAATCCCAGCACTAAGAATGCTGATGCAAGAGGGTTGCCATGAGTTCAAGGCTGGTCTAGCACCAGACTGAGTGCCAGACTAGCCAAAGGCACATAGCAAGATCCTGTTGAAAAAGAAAAAGAATAGGGCCACAAGATGGCTCTGAGGGTGGAGGCTCCTGCCACTAAGCCTTGTGACCTAAGGGTGATTCCTAGGACCCACATGCTAGAAGGAAAGAACAGACTGCTACAAGTTGTCATGTGGCCTACACACATACCTTGGCACACACATGCCCACTCCCCACTGCCACACACAATCAATTTAAAACATTGCTTTTTAGAAAAATGGTAGTTGAAAGGAAAAAAATGACATTAACAGGATACTCTTTTCCCAGACTACACAGGCCATGAGAAGAGCCAGGCATCCATTGAATGAGATGTTTATCTCACATCTTCATCTAGACTTTCCAGAATTTCCTGTTCCTCCATTCTTTTTATTGCTCCCATCCTAGAAAAAACTAGTACAAGTATCCAAGCCCTGGATACTTGACCCAGACTCTAGTGGATTAACTAGCCTTTACCTCTGCTTCTCCAACCAACAGCCTGAGGCCTTTCCACCCAAAGTAATCTGTGTGATTAAAATTGCAGGGCTGTGAATAACAGAAAACCTGCCCCAAGGTGACAGAAACAAGGAGCAGTGTGTCTTACACTGTCATTCATACTGTCATCCAGTAATGCTATCTGAAGATCAGTCTGTTAACTGCTTCATCATCGTTAGTACATTAGCTTTGCACTCTAGCTTGCTACCTTGTGATGACTAGATACTTATGCACCTCCAGGTCTACCTGCAGTCAGAGGAAAGGACAGGAAAGAGTACAGGGATTTTGCCTGATTGGTTGGCAAGAAAAACTTTTACAAAGGACTTCTGATTGTATCTCACTGACCAAAACTGAATCATAAAGGTTACGAGGCTGGGGAATGAACTATTTAGCTTCTAGCCTGAGTGGAAGAAGAGGGAAAGCAGAAAGACTGGGATCTGATACTGAGTGAACCCATCTATGTTCTTGCCACGCTTTGCTTTTTAAAAATGTTTATAAATATTTTGCCTGCATGTATGTAAGTGTGCTTATGCGCACAATGCTCAAGGAGGCCCTCCAGCATTGGCGTCCCGTGGAACTAGAGTTACAGGCACCTGTGAGCTGCCTTGTGGGTGCTGAGAGCAACCCAGATCCTCTCCAAGAGCAGCCAGTGCTCTTAACTGCTCTCCAGCTCCCATGCCTTGCTTTTCAGGCGCTCTTCACAGGTCCTCCAGGGCCTTCCTTCAGCAGTGACTTTGTTTCTCACCTTCAGTGCATGATTGACCAGGCTGTCAGAAAGAACTACTTAGGCCCTTTTCTCTCATTGATGCTATGGAATAGAACATGTGATGTTTACATTTTTATGGGGTTAGTCTTTTTTTCTTCCTTTCAGAATATTTAGGACGTTGTTTCACTGTCTTCTGATGTACATTGCTTCCAACAAGAGCAATAATAATAGCAGCTCTGTCCTCATTTTTGTTCCTCTGTACGAGGCTTCTCTATGATTTAAGATTTGCTCTTTATTATTGGTCTAAGTACTTCATAATGTGCCTCAGTGTACTTTTCCTCCTATGTCTTATGTTTGGGGTTGGTTACCCTTTTTGAATCTTTGGCTTTATGGTTATAATCAAACTCAGAAATTTGGAGGCCATTATTTCTCCAGATGTTTTCCCAGGCTGACTCACTATGGAAGCCAATCTGCATCTCACTGGGTCTTTCCTCATTTCCCTTTTTATACATTCTAATCTAGATTGTGTACAGGTATTTCACTGGATACTTTGTATTGCTTTTGTCTTCAAGTTCACTAATTTTTTTCTTCAATGTCTGACAGCTTAAACATCATCTAGTGGGGGAAGTTGAAATTTGCTTATTGTTTTTATCTCAGTTCAACTTGAGTATTTGGGGGGGGGTCTTTTTGAGACAGGGTCTCCCTGTAGCCCCAGCTGTCCTGGAACTCACTATGTAGACCAGGCTGGGCTTGAACTCACAGAGATCCACCTGCCTCAGCCTCCCAAGTGCTGGGATTAAAGGCGTGCACCACTACACCTGGCTT